ATCTGTCCTTTTCTCTCACTTCATTTTTCTGGACCTCTGGGTCATCCTCATCCTTCCTTGGGGGTCTCTTGTCAGTTGTTCAAGTCTTCCTTGAGGAGCAGTGCTGAAAAACCACCAACACCCTCTGGCTGAGACCACCCTCATGCAGAGGAGAGCAGATGAGCTTAGCCATTTTTTTTAATCTGTAAGAAAGAAACTGTGCACCCCTCCCCCCGCCCCCCAATGGACTTGTCATGAGTAGCTGGTTTCAATTAATTTACCTTTCCCTGAAATTCATGTTTGTTTGTTTGTTGTTAATTTCAGGATGGCTACCAAGCTCCTTTCAGCACTGAGTTAGAGAAACATAGGATACAGTAGCAGCTAGACTCACCTATTAATCAAATTGATGCATCTTGGTGAGCCAGTTCAGAATACCGTGGTGCTGGCTCTTGTGATTTCGTAACATCTCATGACATTCAGTATTTTTGTTAAAGCTCTGCTTTCCAGAATTATGTGATAATGGGAGAAGCTGAGGTTTCACTTAGGAAGAATTAACAATAAAGTATCTAGAGCACCTGGCTGTAGAGAGTAATGGGAAAATGGGACCCAAGAGCATCCTAAAGTCTCAAAACCAGAAGCCAAATAAAAAGCACCTGCAAACAACAGTTGCTGGCTGAGATTGTTGGAAAGACACTTGCAAGAAATGTGCTCACCTGGCTGTTCCTGTGGACAGGAGCTGTTGGCTGCTGATCCCAAGTTCTCCAAAATGCTGCGATGTTTTCTGGATGGTCACTCGTGCGAATCTGGGAGGGGAATGGAAGACATGCAAAGTGAGGCAAGAAAAACGCTATGGAGTGGGAAAGCTGGACCTCCAACCCCCCAGGATTGGTTGCAACAACAGTGCCCCCTGCTAGAAGGTTTTGGGGTGCTCTGCGTGTTACCAGGTACCTTGACTTCAAATACCTGCACGGGTTTTCCCAGCAATACACAGCGTCCCACTGAAGGCCGCTGGTCGGGAGGTGTCAGAACAGCCCAGAGTCAAGAGTGCAGATGTACCGGTGACATCTGGGAGCACGAGGCCACTCCAGAGGCTGCGTCTCGGTGGCATTCCCCCACGCAGCAGCCATGTTCTGAGTGAGAGGGTGGCTGAATGAAAACAAGGGTGCAGAGGGGAGCGTTGCTTCTGGAAGGAAACCAGTTTTCACCAATTTTCCACTTCCTCTGATGAGGACCTGTTTCAGCCAACCCTGCCAGAGTGTTCTCTCTTTGGTGGGAGGAGTGCATGAGAAACAGGATTTAAGGCCACCGTTGGCTGCCGTTCCTTCCAAAGGGTCTGTGTGGGGCAGGGGGCAGCAGTGCCCACACCATGGACATGTGGGAAGGCGCTGGCTGAAGATGGTCCTTAGAGGAGCGGTGAACTACGCTGGGTGAAACCGGGACTGTCGCTTGCTATGGGCTGCCCATACACAGCCCCCATCCCCTGAGAAATGACAGTGTTGAAATAAGCCACTAGACAAAATATGGCAGAAAATACAGTTTTACAAACGTCGTGACATGAAAACTTTAAAAATGTGCCGGAGATGGGGCAGAAAGAGAGACTCGATAAACAACTGGACATAAAGGCAGCTGCAAACTACCCATAAATAAAGGGAGCGCTGGGGCTGACTGTGAGACTGGTGGAAGACTTCTCCTGCCATCCTTGTCCTCCTGCCTAAACCTTTTAAGTTGCTACCAGGAACAGTTTGCAAAGGCTCACACAAAGCCACCATCAGAAATAACTCAAACGCAGAGAGGAAAAAGTTGCTCGAGAGTTCTTCTGGGAAGGATTAGGTTTAAAATAACTGCCATTTATAAATTAATTTCACATCCTTTTGGAGCTTGGCCTACTAGCATTTCAAGGCTTGACTGGAGCTGGCAGACAGGGTGGGCACCGATTCCAGGGCCTGACTGCCAAGAAAAAGGAAAATACTAAGAGAAAAAAAAAATGGCAATGGAAAAAAAAGGCCAGGGAAATATAGGGAAATGAGATTTAGTTTAGGAAAATTATTGTTCTCTGAGCCATGGGCTGATTTTATGGCTGGTGTATGAGTCACAGTCTTACATGAGCCTGGCCTTTGTAATCGATGTCTGAAGAAAAACTTGTGGTGAACACAGCTCCCAACGCTTTAATAATTTTTAAATCCATGACTGTGTTATTTTTAGTCTTTTTTTATAAAATTCATATCAAGGGCTATTGAAAGCAGTGGGGAGACTCCTCTCAGCTTTGACAACTTTGAATCAAGCTGTGTAAAAATAGATACTGCATGCCTCAAGACTTCTGCTGCAGCCTCGCCAGCTGAGTCCAGTGGCAGAGTAAGACCACGACTATTCTGTTTCTTACACCCAGCATTTTGGGACCATGAGTTATGAAGGCCCAGCCAAAGTTCCTGTGACACCTCTCAGTCCTTTTGCCCGATGCTAGATGAGACCTGAGAGATCTAACTCTGCTTCCTGCCGTTCTCTAAGGGGCTGAGCACATGCTTTCCCTCTGCATTTCCCTGGGCTGGTTTCATAGCAGAGAGATGCTCTGCAGCCCAGGAGATGTTTTGCACAGATCTGTATGGTAGACGAATGGCTCATTTCCAAAAGAAGAATGTGCCTGGTGAAAACAGAAATGCCAGGACAGAGGGGAGAGGCGTGAACCCAGCGTGAAGCCCTGCTGCAAGGGCTGCTCCTCCTTTCAGTGCAAGTCAAGCCATTGCTATACCAGAAAGCACTGAATCAGAGGCCAGCCTGAGTAAGGGAGCAGCTGTGAAGACCTCTCTGCAGACCATGGCTTGCAGACCATCTCTGCTGGGCCGTGGGCAGACCAGGCCAGTTCTTCATCTTAGCACTTTTGGGGCATTTTGCGGTGTGTGTGTGTTTTCAGTTACAACTGCGTGAAGAAGGCTGCCCTCCAGCACTGTGAGGACACTGGCAGCTTGCAGCCCAGGGCAGGCAGCCCCTCACCGCTGACCTTAGCCAGGGCGGTGGTGAAGCGGCAGCATCCAGCTCTGAGCGTGAGGACTCACTGGAGAGGGCAAGGGGCCCGGGTCGGACACCCAGCTGACAGGTAATATCACAGACCGGGAGATCGGAGATGCAGACAGATTCAGGAAAAACTGTTGCAAACAGATTGTTAGTCAGCCTTATGGATCTCAGTGAAGGACATGTTTTTCTTAATGGAAGAGAGCCATGGTGTAGAAATAGACTGATACCAAGAAAGAGGGCTGCAGCCGTAGCTTAGGCTGTATATTTAAACATTTTTCTGTCGGACCATCTGGGCCTGGAGCTAAACTTACCCACAAATTATTTTCAATGTTTCTGCTTCTTGAGAGGTGAAAGGTGCACTTGGTACTTTATGCCAGGAGGAAAGGTAAAATAAATGCCCTGTGTCAGATTTTCCCAGTGTCAGACCTGTGTGTGGTTTTGGGTGCCTCATCTGTCTGCCACGCCTGCCTTGAACCCCAGGCTGGGTGCTCTGTGCTCACAGACC